CGGTCCATAAACAGTGTTATGCTAAACCACCGTTTATTTTGTCCCCAGTGTGTCACTTCAGCTTACGTACTTAGAGTTCTGTTATACTAACATTTCACCTTCACCGATGATGATAAAGTTATACTTTACATTTTAATCTGTTCACTAAATCGTTCAGTTTTTAAAATTTAAACATCTGTTTTATCCTTTTATGATAAAATTAAGATGTTGCCAGGATAGCTGTTTTGATTTGAACCATAGGAGACTAGGAGTTCAGAGAGGTTAAATACTATCCCCAGCTTTTCTGAATGCAGATTGTTCTCAGTCGCCTCACCATCATGAATAAAAATTGTCCTGGATAAAAGAACTATCAAAACTCAAAAGTAAGAAAACAAGCTAATAAAGAAATGGACAGAAGATTTGAACTGAAACTTCAAAGACAAAAGGATGGCAAACAAGCTCATGAAAAGACGTTCAACATTATTAGTCATTAGGAAATAAAAATAAAAACCTCATCGAAATACCATACGCAATCTATTAGAATGGGTAAAATTTTTCAAAAAGAAGAAAATCCTGATAATAAGTGCAGGCAAGGATGTGGAGTGACTGGAACACTCATACATTGCTGGTAGGAATGCAAAATGATATGACTACTCTGGGAAAACAATTTAGCGATTTCTCACGAAGTTAAACATGCCCTTACTGTATGTCTCAGCAATCTCATCCCTAGATGAGTCTCACCTAAGAGAAGTGAAAACTTATAGACACACACACACAAAACCTGTATGCAGATGCTTATAGGAGTTTTATTCGTGATTACTCAATGTTGCTTAACTGGTGAGTGCAGTGGCCTACCACTTGGTGATGGAAAGAAATAAACTTGATACATTCTACAACATGGATGAATCTCAAATGCACTATGCTAAGTGAAAAGCCAGACTCGAAACACTACATGCTGTGTGGTCCCATTATACGACATTATGGAAAAGGCAGAACTATAGGAACGGAGGACTGATGGGTCAGTGGGTGTCAAGACTTAAGCCTGGGGGTAGGGTTTCATCACATTCTCTTTGGGGGGTGGGAGAGGGTGGATTGTTCTGTATTTTGATTGTTGTGATCGTTCCATGACTATGCATGTTGTCAAAACACACCTCTATCCACCAAAAAGAGTGAACTCTAGAAATTTAAAATAAATTTAGAAAAAAAAAAAATAGCCTGGTTAGATACACATCTAACTCATGGTAGTTACTGCCTCTGAGGAGGAAGGAGGGAAATGGGACCAAGGTGGAAGTCAAAGGGTATTTTAGCCTCATCATTTATGTTGTCTTAACTTTAAAAAGTAAATAAGTGACAATGTGTTTTTTACTTTATATGGTAAGATTATCAGTGTTTGCTTTATTATTGTACATCTTTGTATTTTTTGATTGGTCAAAGTATAAACAAGGCGAAATATATCCTGAAAGAAAACTTTTTTTATATAAATGTATTTATTGGCTGCATTGCGTCTTCGTTACTGCGCATGGGCTTTCTCTAGTTGTGGCGAGCATGGGCTACTCTTTGTTGTGGTGCACGTGCTTCTCATTGTGGTGTCTTGTTGCGGATTATGGGCTCTAGGCACATGGGCTTCAGTAGTTGTGGCTCGTGGGCTCTAGAGCGCAGGCTCAGTAGTTGCGGTTTATAGGCTTAGTTGCTCCGCGGCATGTGGGATCTTCCCCGACCAGGGATGGAACCCTTGTCGCCTGCGTTGGCAGGTGGATTCTTAACCACTGCGCCACCAGGGAAGTCCCCTAAAAGAAAATTTTGAAAAGGCAGCAAAGTAGAAGGGGAAAAAAAAGTCACCAGTTGTTTTAAAATACTTGGGTACATTTTCTTCTTTTTCTCTACTTGTTTGGTTTTCAATAGTGGAAAATGTACTCTAAGAACAATATAGCCTGTAGCTTTACTTTTACTTAGAGTACCCTAAATATGTTTTCCTTCCTCTTAAATGATCTTTGTAAACATTTGCAGTGATTCAATGTCACTGTTAAGACCTGTGTTTATCTCCACAACTGCTTTCATTTTAGGGATGTAGACATTTCTGTCATATTAAACTGATATGTTTCACCTCACTATCCTGGGAGTAAGGGAATGTTTGCATGAATCCTGAGAATTATGATGGCACTGAGCCATTGGGATTTGATTAACAGAAAATCCTGTCTTTCTCAGGTTTCCCTCCACAAATATTTCCACATTAATGTTCGAGAAACCTGGCGGTCTGTGTCACTGCTGGTCACTTGATCCTGCTGGAGGCCATCAGGATGTGCCGTCTCTTTGTATAATGTGCTGTCAAGGACAGCCCAGAGGAGAATTACCTAGGTTCAGCGTGTTAGTTCCTTTGTAGATTTCTCAGACTCCTTAGATTCACTCATACCATCATTTTCTCAAAGGCACCAGATGATGAGCCCCTCTAATCCAGCACTCTCCTCTGACCACCCCCTTTATACCCTTATAACCCCTTCAGTTTCCTTAGCTGTAAAGTGGAGATAATGACATGGCTTTCATGAATGTGGAATGCTTAGTAGAGTGCCTTGCATTTGATAGATTTATTCTTTCTCCTTGAAGTTCATCTTTGACTAAAATGAAACCCTCTGAACTCTATTTCTGAGCTTCTCCAAGTAGAGTCTATTTCAGGTCACTGAAATTTAATTACAGGGACTCATGTACCATCTTTCTTCAGGTTTACCTAGCACCATGTGTCTCTCCTTTGTTGCACTAGTGGTAACTGCAACTTTGTTTTTATTTGTGTGATGATTATGGGACACTCATTGAAGTGCTGTGAAGGCATGACTTATCTGCAATATTCTCAACACTTAGCACAGCACCTGGCACCTAGTAGGCCCTCAGATATTCTCAGAATGAAGGAAGAAATGAGTGTTTAAACTTTGTAGTTTTAATCTTTCATAAATAAACATTTCATTTCTCAAATTTTTACCATAGCGCTTTGCACATAGTAGGTCTGGTTATTTTTTCCTCTTCATGGCTCTTCAGAATTGATTTAGGTCTATTATATCTCAATAAAAGCTGGGGGAGGATTGATTTAGTTGTTTTCATTATAAAGGTAATAAAACTATATTCTAGAAAATGGGGTTGGCTGAGGAAATAATGACACATTTTACATAAATGTCATCACACTATGCATATAATTTGATAGCTCTTTCCCCCTTTTATTTCATTTTCCTCAGTAAGTTTTCCCTATTTTTAATGGTGTTGCCATTCTTCAATGTAGTTTGTGGAGAAGAGTGTGCTTTCATGTCAGGCAACCAAAGAAACTGAAAAAGAGGTTGCTCAGATGGGTGAAAATCATAAACCTAAACCCCTTTACTTGTGGATTTGACTGAGAACAGCTGTCTAGGAGTGCAGCCAAAAACAAAAACAGAAAAGCCTATTTGCTCCCTTCTCCCTGCTGTTTATTTTAAATGTTAGGGCCATAGTGCTGGTCTGTGGGCACAAGTATGTGTTCCTTATTGGCCTGGGCCGCCAGGTGAGTTTTCAGTAAGTGGTAGGACTGAGGAGTCCTGGGCTTGGAGGCAGTGAGTTTAGTCAATGAGGAGCAAACTGGATAGGGGAATCGGTGCCTGCTGCGGGGTCTGCCTAGTCCCCCGATGGGCATGATGCCTGATCTGACACCCAGGCTAGATATTTGTATGATGGGAGTTGGGAAGGGAGAACTCCTAGGCTTTATTCAAAGTTCGTCTCAGATGTTAACCCCTCCTGGGGTTAATGAAGATTTACCTGATTCTTTTCAGATCAGCTAGTCACCTTCCACTTGCTCTTTTACTGGTATAACCAATAATAAAACTACATGTCCTACATCAACCACAATAAAGAAAACAAATCAGTCTACATGTCCTGTGCTTTCCCAGTAGCCCAGTAGTATTTTGAGGGTAGAGACAGTGTTTTTAACTCATCTTTATAAATAGTAACTGCTGCTATTTGCAGAGTGCTTGCTATGTGCTAGGCACTGAACACTTTTCCACTTAATCCACACTCCTATGACATAGGTACTTCTTAAAAATGCCATTTTCAAAGATGAGCAATTAAAGGCTCAGAGATATCTCATATCTGAAGCTAAACCTGGAATGAGAACCCAGGTGGGTGTGAATTTCAGAGGGCACACAGACTGAATTGTGAAAGTTTATTCTCTCTTCAGTTTCCTAAAGGAAATCTTTCTGATTATGTCCAGGGGGAAGGAAGTTGGTTTGACAACTAACACTCGGTATCTAACATTTAACACTTGGCTGACTTTTGAACCAACAGAACGCACGCAGGCTCAGAGCCTTTACAGAGAACAAAGTTTAGTAACTGTTGTTTTGTTTTCTTTAAATTCGTTCCACTGTATTCTTCTATGGCAAATGATAAAGAATTTCCATTGATGGTAGTGATATAAAATTTCTTCTCAAATGTGTTTAATTGCTTGCGTATGCATAGAATAATTTTGAAAGGAAGGACAAAAAAACATGTTACCTGTTGCCTCCAGGGACTCTCTCTAGGTGGCTGGGGGGACTGGGAAAATTTCACTTTATCCTACTTTTCTGTACAAAACTCAAATTTTGTGACCCAAAATGGAGACAAAACAAACTTGATCAATGAGAAAATTAGTAAATAAATAATAGTGCAGAAGGTAGGGAGAATATGGCAAAAACCATGAAGGTCTTAAGACAATGAATGAAACTAAAGAAACGCTGTGTAAGAAACGTACGAGAGGTACGAGAATCCAAATTACAGGGGAAATCCTGGCACAGGACGGCTTAACGCCTCCGCCCGCTTCCGTGAAAGCGGGACCCTCAATCCTCAGGGGATCCATCTGCGCATGCGCACGGCCTCAAGCCGGCCATCTTCCAGGCTGTATTCCATCCCCCACCGAGAGCGCGCGAAAACTGCACGCACGCCTGCCGGGGACGCGCACGCACGCCCCGCCCCGCCCCGCCCCGCCCCGCCCCGCGCGGCCAACGAATCCCAAGGCGGCTAGGCCCGGGTAGTTCTGGCTCCGGGAGGTAATGCTCGGGAGGGCGGGGAACGCGGAAGAGGCAGAGACCGGCGCGGAGGAGGCGGACGCGGAGGAGGCGGACGCGGAGGAGGCGGACGCGGAGGAGGCGGACGCGGAGGAGGCGGACGCGGAGGAGGCGGACGCGGAGCAGTGCGGTTCGTAATAGTCCCACACGGAGGAGCCCGGCTCCCAGCAGGAGATGGAGGCTGGGCGGTCGCGGCCGATGCTGCGCTCAGTGAACACTCGCGAGCCGTCCCAGGTCATCTTCTGCAACCGCAGCCCGCGCGTGGTGCTGCCCGTGTGGCTCAACTTCGACGGCGAGCCGCAGCCCTACCCGACGCTGCCCCCCGGCACGGGCCGCCGCATCCATAGCTACCGAGGTAGGCGGGCCGCGGTCGCCCATTCGCGCCCGGCCGCGCCGCCCCCTTGTCCTGGCCTCAACGAGCCCGGTGCTGAGCTGTGCCCAGCGCGCTGCCCAGCGCTCTAGGCCTGATAGCAACGATAACGGTGGCTCGATCTTACCGAATTCCTGCCCCATCCGGGGAGGCAGGTGCTGTTGTCATTATTATTACCATTTTACACTCGAGAAACTGACGCCCCAGAGAGGTTGTGACAGATCCAAGTAGACGCAGCTAGTGACAGAGCATTCTTCTTTTAAGAGTGCATAATTTGCATTTGATGATCGACCCCACGTGTATTCCATCCCTCACGCCCGTTTGTTCAGTCCGTGAATGGGAGAATCCCACATTCTCCGATGTGCCCAGCGGGCCACGTCCGCGTAGGGTCCCTGCCTTCACGGAGATCGCGGTCAAGTGGGGGAGACGAGACAAATGCATAAGTAGTTAAGAACAAGCCAGTGTCATAATTGCTGCCATAGGAACGGAGCACAGCAGGGCACCTGCTCAGTGAAAGGGAGGGGTGTGTGCTTTGAGTTGGAACTTCTCAGAGAAGAAAGGGAATCCTGCGTGATGAATGGGATCTTACTAACCCAAGACCCGAGTGGAGAGCTGTAGGCAGAGTGAACAGCATGGGCTAACACCTGGAGACTGGGAAAGGGGAGACGGTATGGAATGGTGGGAGAGGAAGTCTGAAAGGTGGTCTTACCCTTAGGGAAATGGGGACCATTGAAAGTTTTTAAGCAGGGAAATGACATTGCCTGATTTAATACTGAAAAGCTTACCCAGGTTGCAAAGTGGTTTGGAGGGGGAAGAGTACTGGTAGCAGTTAGGAAACTGTTGTAATAACCCAGGTTGGGGCTGTCTAGGCCTTACTGCATAAAGTGGCAGTAATCTTCCCTTGGTTTTCAAGAAGAGAAGTTAATGCTTGCTAAATTTTCACTCTCTTCCTCGGAGGATCCTAATGGATCTTTTTTCCTTGAGGGTCGCATACTCAATAATGCTCTTCAAACTTTTACACCGAAGTTCTGCTAATATTAAATGAGGAACAACGCAGTTCTTCCAGGCATTAACATTTCTGTAGTCTCCTATTTTATCTAGGAAATTGTGTGAATTTTGTATTCTTCTCCAAAATTTATCTGTGCCTGATTTAATATAAACATTAAAAAAAAATTACCACGTGAATGTACTTAACGTTATCGATACTAAACTGTACACTTAAAAATGGTTAATAGTCAATTTTATGTTATGTATATGTTACTACAAGAAAAAAAAATTACTTCCTACTTTACATTTCTTAAATTTTCCCACCAAATCTTCAAGTAAATTTATGCCCCAGGAACACATGCTGTTTTTTATTCTGAGGCAGCCTCCTCCCTCCTTAAACAGAATCTTAGCCCTGGAATTTTGTCTCCTTCCAAGTGCCCCTCTCTCTCTCTCTCTTTTTTTTTTTTTTTTTTTTTGCATAAGATGTGTTTATTTCTTAAATTCAGGTATAATTTACATAGAGTAAAATACAAATGTCTTAGGGTTTGATGGGTTTTGACAACATCTAGATCAAGTTACAGATTAGAATATTTTCATCACCCCAGAAAATTCTCTCCTACCCCTTTCACTCTTCTGATTTTTCACACCATTGACTAATTTTATCTCTTTCTACAGAAAGTACCCTTTTCTGTCTGGCTTTTTTCTTTCAACGTGATGTTTTTGTATCTTCTTGCTTTTGAGAAGCACAGTTCTGAGGAGCTGGTGACCTTTTCTCTCCTTTTAGTTTGCAGCCTTTGGTGTGATTTGCAGTTCCCGTACTTTGCTTTTGCACCAAGACAGCAGAAAGGGCCTGGGTTTTGGAGCCTCGCTGGAATACTTGCCCTTCTCCTTACTGTCCCTGTTGCCTTGAGCAAGTCACTTGGCATTTTCCGACCTTTTTTTCTCATCTTTACCTGGATCTTTTGTGAGGACTAAATAAAATAACATTATTGGAATGGCTTTGTATGGTATTTAAGCAGAATGAGAGGCAGATATTTTCAGTGTCAGAGTGAGGAGATGAAGGAAATAGGTGTGTGGCTCCTTAACCTTTGCTTGTCTGAACAGGTCATCTTTGGCTCTTCCGAGATGCTGGGACATCTGATGGGCTCCTAGTTAACCAGACTGAGCTGTTTGTGCCGTCTCTCAATGTTGATGGACAGCCTATTTTTGCAAACATCACACTGCCAGGTACTGATGTTCCATCTTACTTTTTAAAAAGATAGGCTGTTGTATCCTAAGTAGAGGATAGGCCACTTGAAGGAGCCCAGTCATTAGTGATTTTTGCCTGATGCTGAGCAAGGTATCCAACCTTTCTGTGTCCTATTCTCCACCATGAATAAAGTGGAAGTAATTTACTTGTATGCTGTATGTTGGACAAAGATGTCGTGGTATCTCAGAAGCTCTTTGGGCTGGTCAAGGGTGGGCTAAATTAAAATACTTGATTGTAGAATTATGAATGCGTTTTGTTTCGCTCGCTGTGGAGCAGAATTACGCCCTGGAGTCTCAGGAGAAAAAAAGGTGTAGAGAATGAGATGTCATGGCTTATTTATTGACTTCTAGTGTTGTATCTTTCAGTGTAATTTAACCCAGTCAAGGTCACTGTGTCAATCAGGGGTTGTAAGAAGAATCACCACATTGAACATTAGCTTCACAGCTTACCACTTGTTTAAAACTCAAGTGATTTTATTAGGTTGAACCCTTAGAAACTGATGATCTGTTGGGTTAAAAAAAAACCAAATACCTGCAGCTTCAAACGAGTATGTGTATGTAGGGTTCAAACTAGGATGTGTATTTAGATCCTGCTTTAAGGCAGTGGGTATACAGAAGTGAGCACTGGTAAGTTAAATGTAGGAAATTTTGCCTTAAAGGAGACCTTTAAAGAGTAAGTTCCCCGGTAAGTTTAAAATAGGATTTGAGTTCCCCCAAAATCCAGTTACACACTTCTTTGGTTATCTGTTGCTATGTGACAGCTACCCCCAACCTAACAACAACCATTTTATTTGTTTGTAATTCTGCAGCCGGGGCAGAGCTCAGCTCGGTGGTTATTCTGCTCACTGGTGATCACTGCCTTCTGCTGGCAGGTTAGCTGGGGCCTGGGCCTCTCTCCTGGGTCATCTCAGGGCCTGGCCCTCTTTGTATGGTCTCTCCTGCTGGGTAGCTCAGGGCTCCTGAGAGTGTAAAAGCGAACGTTGCCAGGGCTTCTTAAGGCTGAGACCCAGAATCGCCACAGCGTCACTGTGCCCACATTCAGTTAGTTAAAGCACATCCCAGGCCCAGCCCACTCTCGAGGAAAGTTCCTACACAGGGTCACGAATACTGTGAGATGTCTGTTGCGGCCATCACATTACACTCTGCCACAACCCATGTACTCACTTTTTTTGTCCAAAGCGAGGTCCAGCTGTTGCAAATGTAGTTGCCACGGTTGGCAAAGCCTCTCACTCAGCCCTTGTCCTCAGGCCTGAGTCTGCTGCTGAGAGTCGGTTTTCTGCCCTTACAGTGTACACCCTGAAAGAGCGCTGCCTCCAGGTTGTGCGAAGCCTAGTCAAGCCTGAGGATTACAGGAGACTGGACATCGCGAGATCCCTCTACGAAGATTTGGAGGACCACCCAAATGTGTGGAAGGACCTGGAGCGGTTGACCCAGGAGCATATTGAAAATCAGCGGATGGCAGAGGAGACTGAAGATTTTAATTGAAATTTACACTCCTGGGTCTCGGCTTTTGACAGTCCTGACAAGTCTTGATCTAGACCTAGGACTGGTCACTTTTTCTCGGCTTCAAAGTGTCTCATTCTTGGAGTCAAAAAGCTCCATTGCTTAAAAGAAAGTTAACTGACCTCACTACTGGGCGCTGTGATGTTTAAGGGCAAATATCACAAAATGTAATTTAATGCCTGTCCCTTCTAGAAGTATTTATGAAGGTAAAGTAGTTGCATTTTTGCCTCCTAGTGAGTCAGGAAAGTTTCTGTGTAAGGACTTTTGTGTAAGTAATTGAGTGAGAATTGTAGCTTATTCTTGAGTTGTAGGAAAGCAGTGACATCTGCTTTTCATTCCTGTATTGTGGTTGGTGATGTCCCCGCGTCCCGCACTGAGAGACCAAGATGTCATTGGGGCAGGGGCATAGCGGTCTGCTCTTTGAGACTCCAGTGCCTCGCACGTTATGAGCCTTCCCTCAGTGTTTATTGAATGAACAAACCAGTGGCTACTTTGGTAGAAAGTGTTAGAGGTTTTCACCCTTTTTTTTGAGGGCGGGTGGTAGTGGGGACCTTAAAGTATACACAGTAAACAAATGTTTTAAAGGGCATCAATTTTATAGAAAGCAGTTTTTATAATTTTCTAAGTTGTGGCTTTTCTCTGCCCACTGTTGTCGCAGAGCTGTTTTATTTCTGTTTCTAAGCCAGGATTAGCTTTCTACAGTTCTTATTGATGATAGCTTTTTTGAAACTTGCTATGTGCACAGAAGATAGGAGATACTTGTTTAATCATAGTATTAAAGAGCTACTCCTAAAAAAAAAAAGGGGGTGGGGCTTCCCTGGTGGCACAGTGGTTGAGAGTCCTCCTGCCGATGCAGGGGACACGGGTTCGTGCCCCAGTCCAGGAAGATCCCACATGCCGCGGAGCAGCTGGGCCCGTGAGCCGTGGCCGCTGAGCCTGCGCGTCCGGAGCCTGTGCTCCACAACGGGGAGAGGCCACAACAGTGAGAGGCCTGTGTACCGCAAAAAAAAAA